AAGTATGCATAATGCATCACCTTCAACTTTTGTCTAAAAACATAACAAAAGACTCAATAGGTTAAAATGGAGTAATTATATAAATAAACATAATAATAATAATAATAATAATAATAATAATAATAATAATAATAATAATAATAATGTTATATGCATCTATCCCAACCCGAGTCAATCACATAGCCTAAACCCTCGTCTTGTGTCCTAAAAAAACTAGGAAATATGAGCCATCACACAATGTCAAACAAACTTGGAAATATGAGGTATCAAGCCACACTTGTACCTGCGAGGGCTTTTTTAAAATTCTACTCACCATAACAAACAAACAAATATGGGATCACAAAGTCATGTGGCCACTCAATTCAACCCAATCCTAATATGAATGCACACAGAAGGATGCTCTAAAACCATTTCAAAACTATGCATATATTTTCATCAAAACCATAAGTAAGTTTCATGAATACAAGCAACCATTGATACATATATAGCAAGTAAGATCATATTATATGATATACAAACCAAAAAATCATATATAAAATGAAAAAAAGAAAGAAAAAAAAAATCAAAGTAGCTATAAGGAATTGGTGTGTTGAAATCCTATTAAGTGACCTATTAAGTCACATATTAAGATCTTAATTTGGAAGATGAAATTTTATTGTCTCAAAGTCTTCCTTAAGTTTAAACACGATCATAGGAAAAGAAACAGGCACTAATTTATATATCAGGTGCGAGAGTTATGGTCTAAACAAGAAATGGTTGAATACTAAGCCCACCTGGGCTTAGCTTGAATGTGGGTTCGCGTCGGTTTCACCAACAAGTACCAAAATCAACTAGGCATACCTAACTAGGCCCAAGGTTTAAATGTAGGACATTGCCAAAAATATTTATTTTCACCCATTTGTCCATTGCACTTTGCTATTGCACTTTGCTTGGGGTCATGTATCAAGAATGGTTCCAATGGACTCTTAAACACTTAATAATTATTAGGAAACTTCTAAAACAACTCAATAAATTATAAAAATGATTATTCATTTCCATAAATTATAGATTAGATGACTACGAATTCAATAAAACTCAAAAGAAGCAACAATTAAGACAGTCTTAAAATTGGCATTTTCACTGCATTGACTCAACTAGATTGATTTGAATAACCTTAAAATCATCAATTAAATTACGTTGAAAAGTTCAAAACATTATATTACTTCTAATCCGCCCATTCAGTTCATGGTTCCATCCTTCATACATGATTCCAAGTCCAGTTGTGAAGTTATGAGACTTTTTTCTAATAAAACATTTGTGAATTCAATTGGATTTTTAAAACACTTTTAAAAACCTTCAAATACATGTAGTGTTAAAATCATTACTTCTTTTCCAAATTTTACGAAATGATTTTGAGGTTACCATTGATTAAAAACAAGTCAAAACGATTCCAATGGTATGTCACCACTGGAATCATTAATTCCATTAACATAGGAGCTATAGAACTTTGGAATCATCATGAGGATCATCACAAATTAACAATTAACTTCATAAATATAACTAGAACCTAGATTTGAATTCAAAACTTCAGGCGTAATCTAGAGTACAATTCCAACATTAAGTTGAGGTTGCAACCCCTCACATTCCACCATAGAAGATGTAATCAACCATTCAAAGGATTTAATAGTGATACCTTGATGTTTTAGAGCATGGTACAAGCATTAAATCTCATTCCAATCACAAATCAATCATCAAATTCAAGATTAAAAAATCTAGGGTTGAAAACACACAAAAATCTCTATCAAAGCATCATACAATCAACTATGGAGGAAATTGATGATGATATGATGTTCTAGAGATGAGATAAAAACTAAAACTTCATTGAATCACTTGGTAAAAGATAAAAGTTGAATTCGACTTTATCACTCAAAACCCTAAATAATTAAATGAAGAAGTTAAAAGAGAAATTATAGCTCTAATCACTTAGAGATGAAGAGGAAATGGTTGAATATATAATTTGATACCAAAGGACTTTCAATTCCACCATGAGAGCTTGGGATCACCATCTTCAAAGTGTGTCTTCCTCTCTACATGTCGTTTGAATCAAATAAGAAAAATGAGGGAAGATCACTAGTTTTTATACTTAATACATGTTACACTACAAACCCTCAAGATTCTTATTTTAAACATTGGCCAAAAAAATAACAAATAACTAACACTTTATTTAATTACACTCTTAGTCCTTCTCGTCAATTTTATAACATTTTAAGCCCACAAGGTTAAGTCAAGCTAACTTAAGGTTAAATCTTAAATTATTTCATTATTTGGAATCTATTAAACTTTAAGATATTTCTTACATTAATTTGTATTATTTTATTTAGTTAAATTTTTTAATTCATCTAATCATTTTATTTTATTTTTCCAAAAAAATATATTTTTACTAAAAAATGAGTTAAAACTCCATGCCCAAATTAAGGGTGTTACACACTCCCTACTAGCTTATTGAAACTCTTTATGAATTTTTAAGATAAAAAGACCATAGTACCTTTAATGAACCTCAAACTCTCTTTTCCTTCATTTTTCTCTATCCTCCACTTTTTGGTCATTTTACATCGGTAAGTAGTTTTGTCAAACAAAAAAAAAACTTATACTTATAGTTTTTTCCTCGTCACATAAACTAATCCAAACACATTTTTTTGTTACTGCATAAGTTATAAGCACTTCTATCAAAAAAGAAATTTTTATTTTGAAACACAACAACCCTTTCAGTTATTTCAATGACAACATAATAAATTAACATGTTATCATACTTGTATCCTTACTCAAAATATAACATATCTTGGTAATTACATAAATATGATCAAATCATTGTTTACATATGCGTAAAGAATACATGTACATATAATATACTTACATACTTACTACATTAACTTGATCAATTCCTTAAATCATAAACATCAACTTGCTTTATAAACATGTAAGTGTTTGACATATCAATGCTTCGCATGTTCCTTATCGGATATTTATTTGTATATCTATACACTCCTACACATATGCACACATGCAAGCATGCCCATCATAAATAGTATGAATGTATAGATGAGATTGGTTTATTGATTCCTTTTTCCTTTTGATTCTCTATTGAACTTTTGTATATATATATATATATATATATATATATATATATATATATATATATATATATATATATATATATATAAGGCGTTACAAACCTCTTTTTTTCAAATGTGTTGCAGATTTGTATTTGGTTGTTCATTTCATTTTAGTTAATGTAAAATTATTATTAATTAATTTAGAAACGTGTATGATTCGTATAAATTTAACATATGAAAAGTTATCTGAAAATGACTTGTCGACTCCCTGACCCACGAACCCGTATATTTAAACGGGTTATGTTTAAATGTGATATGTTTATTAAACCTACTCTTTTCCTATATCATTGCTTATGATTTGTTTACTTTATTTGATGACCTGTGGAAAAGATTGACAAAATGTGGATGCTTTACGATAAGTTACTATCTCTTGTCCATTGAGTGTTTATGTCTACAACAAAACATATTCTTTATCTTTGGGTCTTGGGCTTCTAAGAAGCAACAAATTTTCTCTAGCTCATCTATCGAATGGGAGTAGAAACCTATCATTGTATAAGTGAGATCAAACGAGTCTATATAGTCTAATATGGTGTTTCGCAGTCACGCAAAAAATATTGAAACTGATTTCATTTCATGGTGGAAAAGATCTCTAAATGTCAAAAATTATGAGTTACAATTTATTTACATATAAGTGTCTACACCAAGCTTGTTGTCGACACAAAGGTTTATGTTTCTTAGGTTCAAGCTTCGGGTTGTTCCCCACCCTTGTCTTGCAATCAAACTATATTTAATTTTAGCAAGGTCTTAATAGTTTGGAGGTCAAAATGCACATGCTTATGTTTTCAGTTGAGTAGAAGACTTGGCCTTAATTGAGATTTGATAGATACCTTGTAGGGGCTTATTAAACTATATGTAATTTTAGTTGTAATACTTTAGCAAGGTCTTATTCTTATAAACTCCAAACCGTTTTACACCTTGGGACTTGAATTTCCATCAAATGTTGCTTTTAGTCTCTATATACGGACTTTTCTTTTAATTCCTCCGATTTAATTTATTCCAATTAAATCATATAATTAGATTAAAAAACTGTAGTCCTGTAATTTTGAATTCCTTAGGGTTCTTGCTATGTTGGAAATAATTGTAAACCCTGTTTATGATTATAGACAATGAGAGGTACCTTGTCGTAAGTTCATTATTGCTACCCAATCAACAAAAATTAATTGTTGGTTCAACCAATCATCTATTTTATTTTGTAGTCAAATTAAGTCGATGTATGTGTTGTATTTGTAACCGATTCTTGTTTTTAGTTTTTTTATGGTCTCATTCTCAATTCCAAGAGTTTAGCATGAAGGTGGAGTGTTAAGAATTGGCGATGGTAAATTTTAGAAGTATAATACATAATTACATATGCTTTATATCTGGCATCTATATGAAACAAGTTTTTATGTTGACTGTCTTAAAACAGCACCATAGACAAGCAGGTAGAAAAAATTGGTCATATGGGTGAAGTCAACACAACACAGGTAGCTAATAATTTATAATACCAATCAAATGAACTTTATACAAGAGACATAATCTGAAAACTTGTTCAGACTTTCCATATTCTCTTGCAATCTGATTTGCCTGGTAAACTGATAGCAGCAGTAGTGTATATTTTTATGGGCTAAATGCAAGAAAGAGCAATATACTTCAATTTGTTTATTTATTTAACGTATCCTTTCTATTACAGCTGCATTCTACTTTCACTTATTTCTTATTAATGTACTTGCTTCAAAAAAAAAAAAAAAAAAAAACATATCAAGACATTGTACTTTGATAAATGTAAATAATTACAACAGTGAAAAATGTTTTGTATTTGAATGACGTTGCTATAACTTGATAGATTTTTGTTTGTGCTACTCTTACCAGCATGAAGTCGGTGATTGATCGATACCACAAAGCCAAAGACGAACAACAAATGACAACCCCAATTTCAGAGGTCAGGGTAAGCTCTCAACTACCCTCTTTCATCCTATCCTAACTTTTACTACTATATATGGTTAATAGACACAATTACCTCCTAGACTCAGTCAACTTATATTTACTTAAAACATCAGTAAATTTAAGGATCATTTTTACACCCTATGAAACAAATGAAGTAACGCTCCCTTCTTTCCTACTTGCAACTAGTTTTCCAAAAAAAAAAAATCTATAAATGTATATTCAGATAGATGCTCCTTTTACATTATACCTCTCACCATGCTTCCTGATCCTTCATTTACTGTATTCTGTACACACCCTTTAGCCAAGATTCTGATTTGTATAATGAATCAGAATCTTGTTTTAGTGAGAGCGTATCAAAGTGTAAGATTCACTTCCCAAATTATGTACTTGTAGCGAGTGTAAACATATATCCTCCGGTCCCTCATATGTATATTATATAGTAATCAATCATAAGTATCTGTTAACTTAAATTTCTTCAGCTAAACAAGAACAATTTAGATTATGTGATATTTTCTTGTTATAAGGGAAGACCAAAAGATAATTAAGACACAAAAAGAAAGGAGAAGTGGTACTGGTACAAATAGTCAACTAACTTAAAAGCAACGGGAACCATGAGGCAGAGAAAACAGAATGGGAGTATTTTATTTAAGTAGTCTTCATATAAAAACTAAACTGTAATTTGACTACACATAATATTCCAAACATATCATTTTCAATATAATATTCCAAACATATCCAGGTCTACTCAAGTTACTCCTAATGGTAGCTATCTTTGTAAAAATACTTACTAAGGTAGTATTTGGGACACAGGACAAGATTGGATGGGACTGCAATGAGTTTCTGTGTAGTGTTTGGTAAGTAAGATTAGGACAAAACAGAACAAGCTAGCTTTATGCATCCGGTAAGACAGAAAAAGATGTCAAAATTACCACATTGCCCTTGAGTTTCGTAGACATGTCATATCATAATCATATGTAAATAATTTTATTAAACAACCAAAATCCAAATCATATTTTAATACTTTTATCAAAGATATTTAACAACAAAACTTAAATCCATTCATATTTTACTACTTTTATAATATATATATATATATATATATATATATATATATATATATATATATATATATATATATATATATTAAGTATGCTACAAAAGCAAAAAAGACCAAGTAACAAAAACCCTAATTCTAACAAACAAACAAACAACTTGGGTTAGGGAAATCTTAATATCAGGAGACCTAAGTTGACAAGCAAGACAGGAGTGAAGAAGAAAGAAATAGGTACCTGTACTTGTACTGATTGATGTTTGATACGGATCCAGAAATATTGGCCCCAAATGTGGGTAAGCCAAGAGTTTTGCAGGTTTACTCCAGGAGGGTAAAAAAGGGAATTAAAGAAAGTGGCTAGAAGGTGGCCAGATGAGAGAGAAGAATAAAAGGGGAGGAATATCTCATGTTTCCATTATTTTTCTTTGGGTTGTAATTGGCTCTCCTAGTGAGAGAGGGAGATTCCCTGGAATTAGTTATTGTTCATCATTACATCATTTCATTATACATCTTCTTCTTCCCAGAATTCTGTGACTTGACTGATTTTTGCGTTTTTAATTGTTCCAATTCCACATCAATGTTCAATGAGGAGACATACAAGAATGGATGGATAGAAGCCACAGATGAGAGAGTCTATAAAAGCTTCTTTTAGGGAGCCCACAATTCACAACCAATGTCCACATCTCCTATGGTCTATACTCCATATCAATAGCTTTCTGATTTCCAAGGAGGAGTACATTTGCTAAGTACTCCAGGAATTGATGAAATAAAAAAACATGCTTATACCAAACTATAAACATGAAATCAGATCGACCAATCTATCACCAAGGCTAAATAAGTAAATATACAATCTCCTCCCTGAACCCAAAGCTTTCTCTCAAACAAGACAGAAGCGGATAAAGGCTATATAACACTTTTTAGATCTTGTGAAAGCCTGCATTGAAATGATGAACAGCAGTGTGAATGTTAAAGAACCAAAGATTACTACATTCTATTAATAGATCGATCAGATAATGGTAGCAAATTTGGTTTACACTAGACGTTTCTTTTCTTTGTGTATTAAGCTTGTATTATTGTACTATCACAGTCACACTATATATTATGGTGGAATGCACATGCATGATGCACCCCTCTAGTTTGGATTACTAGTGAAATACCTTTAACCTTTCTGCAAGTTGCATACATCATAAGCTTCTCAAGCAACATGTCTTGTCTGGAGCCTTGCTGGGAAATCATACCAACCCCTCTAACTCTAAGTAAGATTAAGATATACTCGCTATGAGAATTAAGTTAAACAATAGGAAATATGATTGTAGAATTTTAGGTTTCATCATTATTCTTCCATTCCATCCTATCATTCTCATACTTCACTCACAAGAACACTACAGGACTCCATTATTCTCTAAATCACCTCTAATAGGGTTGGTATTAGAGCGACTTATGGCTGCTTTGTCTGGTCAATACTGATTTCTGAGAGAGTATCAGATGAAGTCATAAGCATGCATTATAAGGCTTCTAATATTACCCAACTATTCTGCACAAGTTGGCAGATAGGTTGAGTTGAGCAGCAGAGCTCCTACTGCTGCTGCTCCTCACATAGGTGACTGCTGGCATACAGAATGCACAAAGAGTACGCACCCTATAATATGTCCATCTCTAGCTTTATCTTCTATATTTTATTTTTAATGGTGATTTAAAAACTGTTATGGAATTAGGAAAGTGAAAGGAAGATGATACTGATTTCTGCAGACATGCATCACCAACTGCTCTTCTTCAACAGCTGCAGATGAAGGACGAAAAGTCAGAAACAAAAGCATCCAAGAGGCGGAAGGACTCTGAGACTTTCCCATTGAAAAATAGTTCGTTTTCTTAACAGATCACTCTTCAATTCAACACAACACAGATTGAAATGTTCACTGCTGAAAGCTTCAAGATGCTTACTGAATTGAAAGAAGCAATCTGGTACCAAACAAAACAATACTCTTTTTAAGTTTATTAAGCAGGCTGCTTCCTTCATCTCAGGAACCACCAAGACCAAAGCAGAAGGATCAAGGATCTGCATGCTTCATGGGCAAGGGGCAGATTCGGAAAATCTGCAATCGCAGGTAAAATCCATCCTATAGAGAAAGCACTAAAGCTTTTTCATCATATTACTTATCTGTTTCCTTCCCTCTCATAAAGGAAGGACCTCAGCCACAGTAATAACCCTATTCAAAAGATTAAAAAAGGGTGTCCCACAACTACAAGGCAAGGAAGGTGATGCCCATGCTTGAACCTCAAATCTCTCTTACAGATTACCAACCTTGCAATAACATCTTCCTGCCTTCTTATTCGTCTAAGATCACTCTTTTTTTACAATTTCATTGAGTAAGAATGTGAGAACTGAAAAATCATAAGAGAGGTCTTGGGTTCAAGCATGGGCATCACCTTCCTTGCTTGCTCTAGGAATATTGTGATTTATCTACGCCTTGTTGGCCGTGGGGATGATTATGGGTGGGTGGCATATACCCTTTACAATTGTAGAGAGGCTAATCCACTAAATGTTTTCCTCAAGGATTCAAATAGAAATTATTTGATGATGGATAAATCATTAATATATCTAGCCCTTGCTTTCCTATATAATCCAACCATGTAGCTAATGACAACCTGTTCAATAGTTAAAAGGATTGGTAAGGTAGAAAAGGTATAAAAAAATTCCCTCCAGGAGAAAGGGATATTGGCCTTCTAAGAGAAGAATGAAGCCAAAATGAAGAATAGCACTATAAAACATATGAAAAGGTGAAATTTGTGCAAGTAAATGGAATTAAGATATATCATCCATATCTAAACCTAATTCATGCCTTACCTTCAGAGTTCAAACCCAAATCATATCCCAACCTGTGCCCAGCATTTCCCTGAAAGTTTAGAAGTTCATACTTCATTTATCCAAAACTTCCTCTATTCAACCACCTTAATCCAACTTGAAGCTCCTTCCAAAATAATACGAAACTGCATAAAATTTTCACTTCATCGAGAAGAAACAATTTTCATTGAAATTCCCAATACCTACCAAGGTGGTGGATATATTCATTTCCATGACCAATTCGTTCTTGTTTTATTTTATCAGCCTCATAATGTCCTCCATGCCCAACCACATAGAAACAAAGTCACCATTTCCATTCGATAATGTTTTCTACCAAAATGTAGGAACACAAGAGCATATAGCAATCAATTTCGATAGACCACATAGCAAATGAAATCCTCTTTGAACCAAGTCACGGCTGATATCTCTCAAGTCAGGAAGGATCAAACAACATCTTTAAAAAATGTGTGTGAATAGGCAAGACCTTTTATGAGATACATAGAAAGAGATAAGTTTAAATTGAACCAAACACTGAGGGAAAACGCGTGTAGCCATGAAAAATAAGCTGATGATCATTTCAAGGTAAAGCTCAGAGCCTTTTTTATGCAAAACAAAAGTATCACCCGACCAAAACATGAGAGATCCACAAGGTGGTGTTAGCTAGATTGTGTAAAACCATGAGCATACTTCATGCCATATGAGATTCGGCACCAAGAAATACCTCAAGCAACAAGAGCTCCAGGAAAATGAGTGAATTTCTAGTGTTCACAAACTAAATCATTGTGATATGAAGCTTTCATATGCATTGAATCTCCTTTTAAGATGAAATAGATCTTGGTAAAAAGAAATACATATACATGATGAAACGAAGAGGGGTTGACATTATTGTGCAAAGAGTAAAAGCAATCTGGAGTAAAACAATCTCAAAAAATGAAGTGCTGGTTGATGCAGATTACATAGCTTTCCACATACACCTGACAATACCTCTTCACGAAACTACTGAAACAATATAGCCTCTTACTATAACACTCGGTGTATGAAGAAAGACTCAGGACAACTTCACTAAACCCTAAACCCTAATCGCAAACACACACATGAGTTGATTAGTCAAGGAATTGAGGAGCCAAAAAGGAAATAGATACTAAATCACAAGACTAATGAGAACTACAGACCAGGAGAAGCTTTGACTTCAGAAACACACTCACTTCAATGGGATTACAACCAAACAATGTATATGATTGTCAATTTTGACATACATAAGCTAGAATTCCAAAAATTTCGATAATTCCCAAAGTTACGATCATGATTTTCTACTCAAAACTATAGGCACGACTCTAAAAGAAGCCTATACAACATCAACATTGTGCTTTGGTTAACATCCCGAAACTTTATGCAACTTTCAGAAAAGTATATCTTTCTACCAGTGGACATGTCTTTAGTCTTTACATACAAAGAACATGAGCTTATGTGTAGTGTAAGACGGACTCTATCCATGCAGAGAACATTGAGTAACGACTTTTAAGGGATTGGTTTCACTTGTATTTGAATTTATGGATGAATGAGCCACATAGTGTTCCGAAAACATGTAGGGTATCGTGAATCATATCATAGGATACATATTTAATTAGAATACATCTGGTGTTCCAAAAAATCCTATTTAGGGCGCTTAAGCATCCACTGGGTGTTCTCCTTATGGTTTTAACTAGAAAGGGTCATTAAATCATCCACCATCCCTCACCACTTATATTAGCCGCTAATCGTCAAAAATAAGAATTTGAAAAATAACAAGGGGACTATTTCTCATACAGGAAGTTATCTTCTCAATCCTTAATGGCTAATTGGCATCATTGGAACAATGAAACTAGCCATGTTGAAAAAGTAACTTAGCTTTTAATTCTAACATGTACATGTATTCTGATAATATTCACATCATGTATTGTGAAATGAACCATGGATCCACCGATGTTCCTAGGTGACCCTTGCTAAAAAAATTAAGCCCTAGAAGTACAAACCACATAATAACATCAAGTTTTTGAGGTTTGAATGCAGAATCGATTCAGCTAAAAGCGGATGTGACCCAAAATAATATATATCCATCCATCACTTAAGAAGTATTTTTACCATGTTGGATAACTAGTCTGAACTCTCATGTGCATCCATCCGCCCACTCAAGGATCACTTGTCCCCGCATGCCCTTCACGTATAATGCTCCCTCGATACTTAAGACATGCACATATAACTGCATGATACAATGAAACAAATTAAGGTTTGTCAATGTTGCAACTTGCTGAATATGATATAGTTTACATAATGCAATGAGGTTTTTAAACATTCAACAACAATCTATTTACAACTCCTTTCTCTAACAATTGGTGAATGCCACCCACCAACCGGTCCCACACCTACCAACATGGGGAAGGTAAACTGCAATGTCCCCAAAGCAAGGAAGGTGATGCTAGGCTTCAACCTACAACCTCACTTGCGGATTCTCACCTCATTACCACTATGGCAAGCATGGAGGGACTCCTTGCTCTAACAAGAGTAAGCCTAAACATGGATACTTCTAGCACTAGTGTGCAAAAAAAAAAAAACGAAACTCAAAAAGAAAACCAAAAAACGCGAACTATTATGAAAAATTTAGTTTTTTTTTTAAATAATTTCAGGTTTAGGTTTTCTATATATATAAAAACCGAGAAAATCAAAACCGGTCCGAAATACACAAAATGACGTCTTTATTTATAATTTTGACTGATTTAGTATGCTAAAAATTAAAATAATTAACAAGTATTTACGGTCTCCATTATCAAACAAAATAATGAGCATATGTTTACACCGTCTTGTATTAATTTTTTGTGAAGTACTGGATTGTTGTTTAAGGGATATATACACTAAAGTCCTAATATTTTCATCGATTTGACAAGAAAGTCCTAAACTTTATTTTTTTGACAGTAAAGTCCAAAATACCGGCAGTTTTTGACACTTTTACCCTTTTTTCCGGTTAGCCGGTAATTAGGACTTTATTGTCAAAAAAATAAATTTTAGGACTTTCTTGTCAAATCGTGAATTAAGACTTTGATGTCAAAAAAATAAAGTTTAGAACTTGCTTGTCAAATCGTTGAAAATATTGTGACTTTAGTGTATATATCCATTTTTTTGTTAGAAATTTAATGGTATGATAGTCTTTAAGAATAAGAGTTATTAAAACATGCTCTAGTCAATTAGATCCTATTGAAATTCCTAACATTTGCTTCTTGTTAAATAGTTTTTTAATCTCAACAAACCGACATTGAAAAAAATTGAGATAAAAGTTCTTTCTTTCTTTCTTGATTATCTCCATTTTTTTCAATGTCGGTTTGTTGAGATTAAAAAAACTATTTAACAAGAAGCAAATGCTAGGAATTTCAATAGGATCTAACTTATTAGAGCAGGTTTCAATAAATCTTATGCTTAAAGACTATTATACTATTAAATTTCTAACAAAAAAATGGATATATACACTAAAGTCCCAATATTTTCAATGATTTGACAAAAAAGTCCTAAACTTTATTTTTTTTTACAGTAAAGTCCTAATTCACGATTTGACAAGAAAACCCTAAAATTTATTTTTTTGACAATAAAATCCTAATTACCGGCTAACTGGGGTAAAAGTGTCAAAAACTACCGGTAGTTTGGACTTTACTGTCAAAAAAATAAAGTTTAGGACTTTCTTATCAAATCGATGAAAATATTGGGACTTTAGTGTATATATCCCGTTGTTTAATTTAAGAGTATGGTCAATGAAGAAAATAAAACATATAGATAAATGAAAAGGGGAAAATGCAGAAAAGCACAACCATTTATCTACTAGCATTCAGAAAAACCCTTGCATTTTGTTTATATGCAGAAAACCCTTATATTTTTAGCTACCTTTCACATTAACCTAAATATCCGATTTTTTTTAAGAAATTATCAGTTGTTTTGTGACATGACATTTATCTTTTTCGTTTTTAGGTTAACATGGAAACAAAAATAAGTGACGTTGCCTCTTATCTATGGTAAAACGTGAGAAATAGGTCATTTACTCAACAACCATTTACTTAGGCAAATATAAGTGACATTGCTTATTTTTTTTCCATGTCAACTTAAAAACAAACAAGATAAATATATTTTCATAAAACAATTAAAAAAAAAGATATTTGGGTAAATCTGAAATGTAACTGAAAATGTAACGGTTTTTCTGCATATAAACAATATAAAGGGTTTCTTTGAGTGCTGGTAGATAAATGGTTGTGCTTTTCTGCAATTTGCCCAAATGAAAACAAAAAAAAAAATCTGAAAAACCAACAGCTGGTTTCTCCGAAGTCAAAATCAGAAATTTTTGGTTCGTTACCAGTTTCAAGTGAAAAACCAAACAGAACCATGTTCACCCTTATCTAACACTAACAAATTAAAAGGGCTACACAGTAACTTATCTATTTCTAAGTATAGGGACTACTACAGGAAAGTAATCTTTATCGAACAACAAAGAAACTCTACATCGACTCCCTCATAAAGTTATATACATAAGTTGATATATTGGATAAGAAAGACAAAATAACTAATTCACATATTGAAACAAAAACAAAAAGAGTGTCTATTTTTCTATAAGAACAAAGATCATCCACAAAGCTAAAACAATATATTACTCCCTCCATTTGAGAAAAATGTAATGTTTGATTTATCATGTACTTCAATATATATAAGTCTTTGACTAATAATCAAATACCAAAAATACCCCTAGGACATAGGACATAACTAACTGAGAAAACTTGTGCATCAAAATCAATGTCACCAATTTCTTGCTATAATTATTGAGGGAAAAATAGATAAGTTTGGACTAGAATCCTCAGAAGTTTTGGTAGAACTCAAATGGAAAGTTGCTCCCTTATAAAATAATCAAATACAATAAAACTTCATTAGAAGGCATTAAGTAGATCATGTTCAGATTCTTCTCCCACCAAACATCTTCAACGTCGCCTTTTTGCCTAATTTGTATATCCATTTTCTCGTGGGCTATTAAACATCTTAATCTAGTTTCTAAAAAAATGAATTTAAGCAAATCAAACATTCCATACTTAACATGCATCCTAGAAAGTTGTGGAACTACTCATATGATACACAAAATAAAACATAGGCCAAAGCTCCCAACCGGTATAACATTAAAAATAGTCTAGAATAACAAGTGACATCTAATAAAGCCATCTTAATTGCTTAATTTTTTTACTAATTAGTTGCAAATTATGGGAAGACAACAATCATATCATATGAATATAACTTATTCATTTAGTCTCATTTCTTATAACTTATTCATTTAGCACAAGCAAAAAGTATCAGAAAATTGTCAGCAATCACCAACCAGCTATCATAGATGTAGGCAGTTGAATTGCAAGTAAAGTTACTCATGCTACATTGCTTCTTCCTAATACTGGAAGTTCTAAATTTTTTTAACAAAATCGCACCTGAAGTTATTTTAGCATACAAATTCACAGTTATTTTGTTGCATACATTTTAAAGTATTTATGATGATTACACAGATGACCCTAAAAAATCTCTATTTATTATTTACAGTTCTGGCAAAGGGAGGCTGCAATGTTAAAGCAACAACTGCAGAGTCTGCAAGAGAATCATAGGTAAAATTTCTATCTAACAAGATTCAGTAAGTGCAAAGCATGAAAACTAGTGATACAGACTATGTTCTTAATCCATAAGGACAACCTTTTACATGTATTTCTAAGAGGGCAAATAGTTTGACATGTTACATTCATATACTACATTATTACAGGGCTAAAATGGGAATGATCCTGGAAATAAAAAACGAATAATTAGACTATTAAAAAAAAAAAAAAAAAAAAAAAAAAAAAAAAAAAAACTCCCATTGGAGATGCTCTAACAACAAGTAATCCTATACTTGTAATGCAATCTAGGATCCTTAAGAAACTTTTGGAAATTGATTAAAATATACAAGCATATATTGAGTTTAACAATAACAATTATAGGCGAATGATGGGTGAAGAGCTTTCTGGTTTAAGTGTGAAAGATCTACAGGGCATGGAGAGCCAACTTGAAATGAGTCTCAGAGGTATCCGCATGAAAAAGGTTTGAATCTACTACCCTTTATCTAATGCTAATCTTGTGACTTATATACTTTACTTATGTAACCAAAAATACTTGTCTTGATGACAATTGATGAATTGCTATAGGACCAACTTCTTTTTGAGGAAATCGAAGAACTCAGCCGAAAGGTCAACCCAAAACCTAAGACCATTTTCAAATGTCAATCCTAGAGAAAGTATATCTTCAAGTAACTAAATCTTTTTTTTAATCTTTTTCAGGGGAATCTCATCCACCATGAAAATGTCGAACTTTGTAAGAAAGTAACCCAAATTCGTGAAGAAAATACCGAACTCTACAACAAGGTATTTAATATTTATCAACTGCAGTGAAAAATATTTTAGTAAAATCATGAAACATAATGAATTAGTAATTTTGTCACCTCCTAGATTTATGGAATAAGAGATGGAGAAGCAGCAAACAGAAATGTATTTTTGACAAATGGTTCAGGCATGAGAGAGGATCCACATCCCCCAATCCATCTCCAGCTTTCTCAGCCAGATCAACACGAAGCAACTGATCAAGCACCACTCCATTCTACAAATTTGGGGTGATTAATAATCTTTTATTCATTTCGTTATATTAATATCAAAGGTTTCAATCATACAACTAGAATGAACGATTATTTCTGAAAATGATGCAGATTATAACTACATTGATGAGAAGATGGGTGAACTCCAAAGACTGTTAATTCATTCCTCATCAAAGATAAACCCGTCTAGTTTAAAAGTTTTATAGTGTTAGTCAGTGGTTACCAGATCATAGACAATTCAGAAATGATGGAATCAAATTTGGAAAATGGAGGGGACCAAAAAAAAAAAAAACTAGCTGCCTGTTAAAGATTAAAAGAGCAAATAAATTGAAGGTCAAAGAACTACATGAGTGGGGTTTTATATTTTATTTCATGGATATTTTCACTTAGATAAAAAGTAAGATTTGTACTTGATTGGCTGAAATCTAAGAAAGAAATGTACATATATTTATTTATAAAGATTTGAAGTTTGAATACCATGCCCCACACCACTAATTAACAAGAAAAACAAGTATGCAAGCAAAAAATAAAAATAAAAATCCACCATTTGATTTGTAAGCAAGTTATAAACTTATAATACATGGCAAGATAAGGGGCATTTTGAAAATATGGATAAAGAAGTACACAACTCTTATTATGTCTACCAGCAGATCATTTTGTATTTAGTTGAACATGTAGAAGTTATTCATGTTGTTGAAAACTGTATAAGATTTTAGTTTCATATATAAAACCATTTGTAGTGGATGGATATGACCACTCCAATTATTCAAATTACACATTGGTTCTCTTCAATAAAATCTCTTAGTTGATAATAATTTGCTAAGAATTGCAGAAAAGATTGCAAATACATTCTTTTTAAATGATACTAGTTCCCGATCATACCAAATCTGGTACTCATCTTTGTGTATTGTAAATTGTGACCATTGACTCAAACCATGAAACAAGCAACAAAACTACTAGAATGTGTCATAAACTTATATCTGAGCAAAGATGAGAGTTGTATATATTAAACTTAAAGATTGCTTCAAAACTCCAAATTAGAAACACCAATTCATAGGACCCCTCGTGCTTCTTACTTAATACTAGATATTCAAACTACTCCACATGTGTGTACTGATATTGATATATCACAAGTCTGGTAATATTACTTAATTAACACCCTATTTTCTTCCAAGATAAAAGGGGAAAAGTTCTACTACGTTACTATGTAATCTCAGGCAAAGGTAAAAAATTTGATGAGAGCTATTCACTAGCATATAGAATATAAATGATATGGTTTTGTGGAATGCTTTAATTTGCAAACAAAGATATATTACAAATCCTGGTAAAAAAAAACAAATGATTCAGTAAAACTTTATCTAACATCAGCATCAATAGAACCTTTTGTTAGAATAAAAGATGAGGTTATGCACTTATGCATACAAATCGCAGGCAGCTCAATAACCTTTTAGAAAGTAGATTAAGAAGGTTAAAAAATTGTTACTCGTAAACAAGGCCAAACTAAGTTCAGGAATTTCATGTCCATAAAACTGTCAAGTTCGTTATTTTGGAAAATTAACAATCATAATTAGAAAAAATACAAAGCACCTGAAATTTCAAGCCATCCACCTTCCAACATGCATTTGACTCCTTTTTTTGGTCTACATGCATCAACTACAGACATTTCAAAGAGAAATCAAGTTGTATTCCAAGTAAAACCTAGTAAGCTGAACCGTTTAATCGTACACAAAACCGAGCGAAATAAAAAAAACAAAAGATTCTTTGTGTCCTCGACAATTATGTCAGGTTTAAAGACTTTGGAAGTTGCAAAAAAAGAGAAAATAAAACTTCACCATACCTGTAACTCATGCCAAGTTGCCAACAGGGATCTGCCTTCGATGATTCGATCAATGCATTTTCCTTAATATATTGACCTACGAGAGCAATTTACAAGTAAATAAACATAAAATTATCTTCAAAAATGATAAGAATTTGCTGAAACACAGGAAACAACGAACTGGATCAATTCAATACAATTTACGTTCACAAGTCGTTTTCAGAAAACAGAAATCAAGCATTTTTTTCTTTGTTCACTTTCATACTACTATCCACATTAATATATATCGACGCACGATTAATATCACATTTTTGTGATTTTTTCTCGATTCATAATTGATCGATTCACTTACCAGAACATGTACAAAACACGTGCACTGTTATCATCGAAACTCGAATCGATTTCATGCTAACACCATATAGACATGGCGATATCGAATTTAAACTGTATGTTTCATGGAAGGAGACAGATAATTTAGCTGCTGATGATGAAGAGAGAAGGAGATATGGTGACGGTGAGGGTTGAAAAATATCTACAACAGGAGGCGTGTCGACTGATGCGTGGCTGGGTGGAGGGCTACAGTTGGTCGATAGGGGTACGCTCCCCCACCAGATTTTGCAAGTCATAATAAATTATTGAATAAATATAATGACGTATATATTTTTTTATTTATGTTAATGTATATTATGTTTTTTGAAATATACTTTGAAAAATATATAATGACATATATATTTTTTTATTTATGCTAATGTATATCCTAATTCTTTTGATAAATCACAATTCCTTCCAAAAAAAAAAAAAAAAAAAACTATAAACCAAACGTTTATTAATATCATGTTCTTGAATTCAATTTAACGAGTAAAATGGATGGAAATAGAAGAAATTACAAGAAATTGATGTTCTTAAGTTTTATTAAAACAAGAAAATTGAATGATCATTTTCTTTCCTAAAATTTATTTCAATTTGGAAGGATTTGGAGAGAAATTAACAAAAATTTTAATTTTCCTTTCATTTTTTTCCAACTCGTAAACACATAATACAAATTTCTTTTATGTTAATTTCTCGTCTCTTCTCTCCTTACTTTTTTCTCCTTCTTTTCTTTTCTTTGTAAAAACTCGAAAACCAGACATAAATGACTTTGGAATAGCTAGGCAAATTTGTAAGCTATTAACCATTTTTAATTTAGCATTTAGAATGTACACTGAATGAAAAGTCATGCAATACATGAGGATAATATGATAATGATGATACATAAAAACATAAAATTAAAAAAAACAAAAAACAAAAAAACAAAAAACAAATCAAAACTGTCACAATATTTCAACAAGTGTTAAAGAACGATGATCATGATATCGATCATTTTTAACTCTAATAGTACATGACTAACATCCATAATATCTATCCTAAATCCTAATAGTAAGATTTGTAACATTACATTTTTAACTCTAATAGTAATATGACTAACATCCATAATATCTATCATAAATCTTAACCGTAACATCCTTAGGTCATAGAGTGTAATACTACATTTACCACATTATTACAGTATCATGTCATCGTCACGTCATTTTTTCTCACCTCACAAAACAGGTGAGTGTCATATTATACATTTACTCCACTTTTATTTTATTATTATTTTTTTTAATCGATCACATGGTCAACGGTCACAAAACGGAACAAAAGAGGTGTCGTAAGCTAGCCTTCTGTGGTGGCCATACCACAATGGAAATTAAGAGGTGGGTGCAGTGTTCACTGCACACTACGGTGTCATCTCAGCAACCTCAGTGTGCAGTTAAGGGTGTACCGACTAGTCTTAACATCGATCACATGTGCTAATTTCGATCATTGACATATAAATTGGTCGTTTTGGATTATAATACATGAACTTTTAATGGGTCTAAGTTGATGAAACAAAAAAAGTTAATAGAAAAAAAATATGATTTTGGACGAACCAAACCCATTAACAAACTTAATGTTATTTGACATTCCCATTTTGAAACCTCTAAATTTACTTCACATAAACACATGTTACAAATAAACAGATTTGGTTTCTTGAATCTTGATCACCTAGATTAAAAAACACAATTCTCATAGAGTTTTTTATGTGTGCAAACGATGATACAAGGAAAAATAATCAAAATATAGGACACCCATCAACTGTTATATTCCTTGCCGTTGGACAGGTGGCAAGATCACAATGTTCCGGGTTATTAGTGCCCCACCAATTTACACTTATGTTCTCTAACCCAGTCGTAAAGTACAATAAAACCGCCATGAATGCAACTCCGGCATCAAGGGCCGCCGAGAGGATATAATTGTACCTCTTCCACCACATTTTCCGGTACCTAAACACGAAAAAATTGAAAATTGTCCCCACTAATATCCACGAATTGTAATTCACGGCGGCAGCTGGAGGCATATAGGCGGTGGCACCAAGGAGCACCGGGAGGTTAATGAGAGGAATCCAAGATACCTTCGGGAATGCTTTGTGACATAACCATACTATGATTGGGCCCACAAACCCGCCTAGAAAGAACCAATTTAGGGCTCCGTAGTTCCCTAGAGGCCCGAAGATTCTTCTTGGCCCAACTAAGCCCCAAATGACGGATGCATCGAAGAATACATGGTCATATGGGCATGTCCATGGGCTATTGGACTTAGGGTCAGGGTGACACATGTCCTCTATATTGTTTAAAAGGTACCACGCAACGCTTAAATTTACGGTTCCAGCTATTATTGTTCCAAGAAACTGTAATAACAAAGTAGACAATATTCAGATTAGTTGTGTTGTCATATACAATTTTCTAGAATGAATCTTTTATCTTTCTAGTATATATTTTACGAAACTGAACAAATATTTTTTTCACATTTTAATATATTTTTCACAAACAAATTATATCTTATTATTCTGAAAAACCAAAAAATAAGAAGACTTGGAAAAAAATTGATGCTAACCTGAACCAGGAACATGGATCGTGGTGGGATCTTCATGTAATGTCCAAGCTTAAAATCACTTAAAAAGGAGATGGCTTGAGTCATGCTCATGTAACCATAGGTCTTGAAGCACACATTGGCTATGGGTTTTCCCGGGTAGATCAACCCCATGGCATACTCCGTTATAATGTTTAAACCTGGTGTCTGAAAATGTCAACACAAGCAAGTAGACTTTTATGACTCACATATATGCAATTTTGAATTTAGGGCTAACTATATTTTTATCCCCTAAGTATAGCCGAGGTTTGCAATTTTGGTCCTTACTTGAGGTTCTTGTTATGTGTTTTGTCTATGTTCCAAGTAAAATAACTATTTTTTATACGTAAGTATAGTTGGTTTTTGCAATTTGATCCAAAAGATATAGTCATTTTACTTGGAACATCCAAATAGAGACCAAAAACATTACAAAAACTTCAAACAATGACCAAAGTTACAAAAGAAAACTTTTTGAAACCAAAATTGAAAAAATCAACTATACTTGAGCACCAAAAATGTAATTTACTAATGAATTTAATTAATAAGATTCCGTTTGTTACATAAGGGTGGACTATTTTTTGTGACGATGATGAGAGGTTTCACATGATTTGTAGACGATAGATTGAGAAGAAGGCCATATCCCATCTTTTTGAGTGGGGCAATTGTCCTATTGACATCATCACTCTAGTCATTGTCTATTAAATGTCAAACGCAGTGCAACATGTTATCGTACCTGGTTTGTTGTTGCAGTGATGATACTAATGGGGAGGGTGAAAGAGAAAGCGATGAAAGCAGCAAATATTAATCCCCAAAACGGCATTTGTATTTGATCTTTCATGAAAATGGTGAGCGCAAGGCTAATCATGAGCGTTATCGTAAGAAGCACGTAAAACCACCATGACGGTATGTCTTTGTACTTCCTCATTAATCGTGTGTGCACGTCAACCTTACCCTCCGTTGATGCTTTGTAACGTTGATATATCTCCCTATAACAAAATTAAATCCTTCAACTCCAAAATCCTTCCCACCAAACTTGGTTTTATAAATAAACTACTTGTGTTTTTAATGTTAAGAGTTTGGAGATGACTTTACATAAAATATAGAAATGATAAAGAAAAAAAATAGATGATTCGTACACAACATTTTTTTTTTCATACACAACAATAACAAACTTTTTTTTTTTTTTTTGCATATTGTGTAACCCCTCTAAAGCATAAATTGTTGTATAAGGCAAGAAACTGTTGTTTACGTATCAACTCCTGAAAAAAAGAAAAAATATGAAAGGAACTTACTTCCCGTAGAAAAGACCAACATGAGTAATCGTAGATGCAATTGTAGCAAATCCAAAACCATATGTCAACGCGAAAAATGTGCTCAAGTTAACCCTCCCTTGCTTCGCATACTCTCCATAATCTATCTCGAACTTGTTATCCACAATCTTTGTGATATCATACAGCTGCCCATCCCCCGTAAACAAATCATTCGAGTAAATCGGAAAGTTTTTGGCATTGTACACATTTAGTCCCCAATAAGATATCGGAATCACCATGTACATTATCATGAAATAGCCCAAGAAAACATTGACTATAGCAAAGAAAGGGGAAATGAGAGGGCTAAATAAGAAAGAAGCTGTTGTGGCCCAATCAAGTGAAAAAGCTCCAATGCCTAAGCCTGAAAAGCCCGACCCGAGTTGATGGGCCGTTACGGATTTGGGAAAAGCCCAACATATCCATGAAATGCTTTGTAGGGTTTGAAATAAGTATCCGGGAAATAAGTAATAACAGAAACTGCATGCAAGAACGATCACAAAGAATTTTGGTCGTGACATGCGCTTTTTGTTGTCGCTGTTAGGGTCTTCGTCATCATCGTCTTCTTTAGCATGAAGTGCACTACAAAAATGATTAGACGAAATTAAAGATTATTATCAGACTTTATCAACTTATTTTCTTATATTTTTTGTTTTGTGGATATATATGTGTATTATTCTGTGATAGTGAGTGGGTGAGCGAGAAGTGTGAACCTTCCACCCAAAGTCTCTAGCGAGGCGGCAAAGATTCCAAAGATTCATTTCATTGTTTCTCTTGTTTTTTTCTTGTTGACAATAATGATGGGCCCTTAAAGAATTATATTTTAATGTATTAACTTATTTATATTGTATAAACACATTATTATAGACGTATTAACTTTTTAGTTGGAAAACATTTGTAGTTGTTTTAACTTTTAATATTATTAGCAATTTATTTACGTATATGATTATTCATTTATACTGAAAATCACGTTTAGTTTTAAGATTACATATTTAAGAGGAAGTATTTGTGGCCAAGTATATGGGTTCTTGTTAAGTGCCGATAAGATTTAGATTCAGTTTAGCTTATCTCTAGTTTATCTTTATTCAAATTATTTGTATTTATCTTTTTGTTAGCCACTGATGATTCTGGTTTATCGCCGACCCCTGGTTTTTAGGGTTTTAGGTTTTTAAACCTGCTCTGATACCATGAAACAACTGGTATGAATTGCTCGTCCTTCTGCTTCTCATTCATTAAAGTATTTATAGTTACAATCCTCATCAGAGGCTAACAGAAAGATAAATACAAATAATTTGAATAAAGATAGACTAGAGATAAGCTAAACTGAATCTAAATCTTATCGGCACTTAACAGTTCTACTGTCGACTATTTTAAGCATGTATCATCCATTTATTTATTTATATATATATTTTGTTTTTATAAACAGCTAATTTTTTTTATTATTGTTAGAAACTTTAATTAGGGATAATATGGAATCTAATCTAATCTATCAACTCTGCATCCACATCATGCGTCATGACAAACTCTTGAAAATGCATCTAAAAGATATTCATAAATAAAATAGTGTATAGTAGGATGATTTTATATATTAAGTTCACAACATTTTTTGTTGAATCACGTTTTTCTAAAAGTAAGGGTTACTAATCGTATATCCATAATTATAGTTAACAAATCTCCTACTTGTATTTTATCAATTACAATATTTCAAATTCCTTTATCAAAACAATAAACAATCTATTGTAAGTTAAAAAATGCAAGTATCACATAAAGAATTACAATTACAAATCAGTTTAAGGAAAATATTGGAATCGGTCAAAGGAAGGAAACGTACCGGAACAAGGAGATCTGAACGAGGGTGCTGGGCCACCACATGTGCGACGGTTCAACTACGTATTTCCTTAAGAGCCCGGCCCACCCGTACCCCAAAACCTGTCCACCACCGGCGCACGTTAGCAACGTTCCCTACACTAATTTAATTGACTCCAGTCTAGCTGCTTTTGTTTCATTCACAAGTCACCCTCCGCTCTTTTGGAATTGTTGAATTTTGATTATTTGTTTATACAAATAAAAAATAAAAAATAAGAGAATTAATATTTTTAGAGTAAATTATAGATTTTTATTCACTAAAATGCTTGTTCTTTAACTCTTAAAGGCGATAGTATACTACTAACAAGATAATAAAATCAAAGAAATTCATATTGGATAGAGAATTTGAAATAAAACCAAAAAGAATGACGTAGTTATACTAATTTTGATTATTTAAAGAAATAAAATCTTAATTATGAATTCAAAATAATAGCATTTAAAAGAATAATTATAACCTGGGTAGTGATGATGAGGAGCCAAGCTGCAATGAAAGAGATATTCCGGAAATAAAAGACCTTTATGATATTCACGATTCCGACGGCGTACGCCGATCCATTGCCAAAAGCGCTGCCGGCATTAGCAAATATCGTAATCAATACATGCTCTTTCATGTTAAATGGTCCCGGATTCAATGAAAACTTCCGGGATTTACATCCCGGTAGTTTCAGGCTGAACTTGGTAGTGGGGAGGACTGCCGCCATAAACCGCCCTATAGGAAGCGTCGCTACCTGAACGGTGATCTGAGTTATTACCAACGGCGATGTCCGGTACGAAAAGAACTGGTTTAGAAACGAGAGGAGAACGCATGAAATTAGACCCAACACCCACATTCGGAAGGTCCATAGATATTGAGTCGGGTCGTCGGTGGTCGGAACGGTTAACCGGACCTCTTCGATCGGAGATTCTTCGTCTTCCTTCCCTTCGTTTTCTTCTTCGAATGGTTTCTTGACGGCCGTCGGCGGCGAGGACTCCACTGCGACACTTCCCATTTCTAGAGAATGATGTGGTGTTTCCTCTTTGGAGGGATATTGCAATGTTGTATTTATAGAGTAGGGTGCAATATTGACATTTTTTATGTAATAATATTTCAATGTTATTATTTTTCTAGGTATATACAATTTACATTCTTCCCTGTTATGTAGATACGCAATATTGACATTTTTTGGGTTATTTATTTATGTAATGATATTTTGTGTTTTTATTGAGAGAAAATGTTTATTATAGCCAAAAAAAAAAATTAAGTTTTTCCACAACATAATCAAAATTAAGAAAATGACCAAAATACGTATCATTTTCGTAGGTGGTCTTGAGATTTTTGCAAGTAGTAACTTACGAAATCTCAAATTTTCGAGGACATATTACAACTTTCATCTTTAATAACTTTTGCATACGAATTTCGTTTTAGTTTATTTTTTCATTATGTTCTCTATCACAAGTTTTATTAATAAACATATTTTATGTTGGTCAACGATGATTGAAACCTCGTTATTCGGTCTTCCATGACAAAAAGTTTACTGTAGGTTACCATATTATGTGATGATTATATAAAATATTACCAGGTATTTTAATTAAATTAAATAAGGTAAAAATACTCTAGAGGGTAACTAACTGTTGCGTTTGTTTTCATTTGGTACATTTCCTTTTTTTGTACTCAATATACCATCAAACTTGTTGTTTGTGCTCACCATAACCCTTTTGACCGGCTATCACATGTGATATTCGGTCAAATGGTTATGGTGAACACAAACAACAAGTTCGATGGTATATTGAATACAAAAAAGGAAATGGACCAAATGAGAACAAATGTAACAGTTAGTTACCCTCCAGAGTCATTTTCCCCAAAAAGTTAAATGAAATTAAAGTTGCAAAAGTATCAAAGACTGCAACCTTCTTTGGCCATGATGTACATGAAGAGCGTTTCAAAGGGGTAGTTTCGTGAAAACATGGTCTATGTTATGCTTATTGTGGTTAGTTGTCAACACCTCTCTGCAAAAGGATATGATTGTGTATGAGAGGTATATTTATCAGCATAAATGTTTACCTCAAGGTATATTATGGTGATGTGCCTGCAAAAGCTGTATGATCTTGTACATATTGATGTTGTATCTTATCTCATGAATTCGATCTTAAAGCAAAGTAAACTCAAAAATCACAGCACTTGTGATTCCACTCGTTTGTAGACTTGTCCAGAATCCATGATACGATAAATCATTTGATTGGAAATGTAAATGTAGTCACGAAATGCACCTGCTTAGTCAAGATTCCCCTAATAAATATTCAAGTGCATTACAAAGTTGTACATGTATTAATAATGTTCTTTCGTGGGTTATGTTTTGAAGAGAAGCAGGAATGAATCTCATAAAGTCCTTAATATGAGCAGGAGATGACGTGAGATTTTCTGTAAATTAGTAAAGGGAAAATGACTCTGGAGGGTAACTAATTGTTGTGTTTGTTCTCATTTGGTCCCTTTCCTTTTTTTGTACTCAATATACCATCGAACTTATTGTTTGTGTTCACCATAACCCTTTGACCGACTATCACCTGTGATAGCCGGTCAAAAGTCGGTCAAAAGGGTTATGGTGAACACAAACAACAAGTTAGCCGGTCAAAGGGTTATGGTGAACACAAACAACAAGTTCAATGGTATATTGAGTACAAAAAAAAGGAAAGGGACCAAATGAGAACAAACGGAACAGTTAGTTACCCTCCAAAGCCATTTTCCCCATTAAATAAACATGTATAATAACGTTCCTCTCGAAAAATTAAAATTTTCTTTTTCGTTATTTCACCTTGAATTGTAATTTTGTAATCAATTTTTACAAAATTATTTATTTATTCATGATATGTAAAGCAACATACTATTTTTTTAGTTTGTCTTTATTGAAATAATAGTAATAATTTAATACAACAAACTTTATCTATATGTCAACAATATATATTAATTAGGGAAATTGACAGGGTAATTGCTTTTCGTTTTGTTCATATTTATGTAACTATTTTTTGTACACATATAGGCAAGAAATGTAACATCCCGATTTCCAAGTATGAAATTTTGGAGATTTTATGCATTTCATAAAACCTACTCGACGAGTTAGAGGCCCCAACTCGTCGTGTAGAAACCAAGAAGGCCGCGTATTTCAGAAGACTTATTTGACGAGTTGGAAGGCTCCAACTCGATGAGTTGGAACCCTAATTTTTAGGGTTTGCACCCTATTTAAAGGACTTAATCCTCATTGTTAGCCTCCCTTATCACCTCCCCTGTCCAGTGAAACCCTAAATCGTGCCTCATCTTCCATTTTGAGTGTATGAGAGCTTAAAGAGTGTTCTTTGGTGCTTTTCTTGAAGGAGTTTGAAGTTTGTGGTGCATAGTTGAAGGGAGAAGCTTTAGATCCAGGATTTTCAGTGTTGTTGCAGCCATTTGGAGGTATAAAATCGATATCTTGATCATCCATTTGCTAGATCTCTTCTTTTGAAAGTGTATGGCCATTATTAGCTTATTTTAGGACCATTATTGGATTTGAGCCTGTTATGAAGCTATGGTTTCAGATCTGGACATCTCATGGCCTCCATGGACTTAAAGTTGCTAACTTTATCAAATCTTGGCCCTCTTTCATGCCCTAGGTCCCTTAATAATCTTTGTTTGAGTGTTTTAGCCCTTTGATGCCTTGCATGGATGTAAAGTTAGCAACTTTACGTGGTATCTTAACCCTAGGGGACCAGATCTATAGTTTGGAGCTTTAGATTCGACTGGAAGGAGCTGAATATGTTAAGACTGGGAAAACCCGACGAGTTGTCCTGACAACTCGACGAGTTGGATCGGGTTTTCCCGCCTTCTGGATACTGAGCGAAGTCGGCGAGTTGATGAGATAACTCGACAAGTTGGCTAGGGTTTTTCCCGGTTTTCTGAACACTGAAGGAACTCGACGAGTTGCTATATGCACTCGACGAGTTGGGTCAACATGGACTGTTGACCTTAACTGTTGACTGTTGGCTTTGACCATGGTTGACCAAGTTTGACTTTAAGGGTATTTATGGTATTTCGAGATTCTAATGAAGTTAGTCACATGGTGGTTGTAGGCAGCTGAGTTCAGAGCTGTGAGTTGGGATTTGATCGTATCGGTTCAGCACTACTTGTGAGGTGAGTTTTCCTCACTGTACTCAAGGGTCTAAGGCACCAAGGTCGGCCCTTTAGATTGTTATCCTAGTTTATTTCTGATTGAGTACTGTTATGATCTGTTAGATCGGTATCATGGTAGATAGGATGTGGCTATGTTGTTATGATCTGTTAAAGCGGTATCCTGATTGATAGGATGTTTGCTATGCTTGGTGATCTGTAGATCTGTTTGACTGATTGTAGACTGTTATGAGATTATCTTATATATGTGCACATGTTTGATTGGTAGTTGAGGGTATTCCATCCCGAGGATGATTGGACCCATAGTATGTTGGCATTCCAACCCGATGGTTGAGGGCCAAGGGTATTTCATCCCGAGGATGATTGGACCCATAGTATATTGGCATTCCAACCCGATGGTTGAGGGTCGCGGGTATTCCATCCCGAGGATCATTGGACCCATAGTATGTTGGCATTCCAACCCGATGGTTGAGGGTCGAGGGTATTCCATCCCGAGGATGATTGGACCCATAGTATGTTGGCATTCCAACCCGATGGCTGAGGGCCTGGGGCATTCCAACGCGATGGTTGATTGGGGCCATAGTATGCTATTATTATATATGTGTTATTGTTGTGCGGGTATTTTGGGAGAACTCACTAAGCTTCGGGCTTACAGTTGTGGATTTGTTTTAGGTACTTCGGATGATCGCGAGAAGGCGAAGGCTTAATCGTGCACCTCCTCGTTTTTCATGATCGTGATTTCTGGGAATTCTCTGATGTTTAAACTATTTTGAAAACAATTTGTAATAATGAATGGGTTTTTGGTTGTTTAAAAAGTTAAAAATTTTTGTGAATTTTATGGATGTTACAAGAAACTTGTTGGAAGTGTTCACATATGACCATTATTATCGGCTACATCGAGTTACAGCTTACATGGCGTATACGTGGCATATACGTGACAAAGATAATTATTCAGGAGGGTAATGAACTATTGGTGTCGTTCACATCTAGACAATTTATTTTTTTGTTCACATTAGACCATCCCATTTGTTGAAGTTGTTCATATAATATCATTGTTTCAAAATTTTAAATCGGTAGTTAAAGTCGTTCATCTAACTTGTTGAAATTGTTCACATAATACCATTATTTCTGAAATCGAGACACTTTGTTCGATCCAATGTAAGAACACCATTTGTTTCTTAGGGTGGGGTTCGAACAATACGATTAAACTTCTGGTTTACAATTAGTATCCTAATGGAAGCTTGAGCTCGTTCCTCCATGGTACATGGACCGGGAAACGAGGAGCAAAGTGGGAGACTAGGCACGATGTTATACTAGGCATGGCTCATGCTCTCACGTATCTACATCAGGACTGTGTGCTCATTGTTTTACATGGAGACGTGAAAGCCATGAATGTGTTATTGGGTCCGAACCTACAACCCTACTTTGGTGAAACCATAAATCTCAGTTAGCTCCCACCCTCTCACTCTACCAATTATTATAGGCGATAAAATGAGGCATGCTTAGTACAACCTCGTACCTAGTCTCCCACTATGTTCCTCGTTTCCTAATCCCAACACAATTGAGGAGTGAGCTAAAGCTTTTATTAGTATTATAACCATAAAACATAAGTTTAATTGTCAGCCTCGAAATCCACCCTAAGAAAGAAATGGTGTTCTTGTGTCAGACCGAACCAAGTGTCTCAATTTCAAAAACAATGGTGTTATGTGAACAACTTCAACAAGTTAGACGAACAATTTCAACTACCGGTTTAAATTTCTAGAACAATGGTATTATGGTAACAATTTCAACAAGTTGGATGGTCGAATATGAATAAAGAAAAGGAATTGATGTGAACAAAACCAATAGTTCATTACCCTCATGGATAATTATCGTTGCCACATATATGTC